TATAAAAACTTAAAATAATTTTATCTCTTTTATATTTCCGCTATTTTTGGAAAGATATTTTTATTATAGATATAAGAAAGAAAAGAAATTATTTTCTCTTCTTTTCAAATTCTTTTGCTGCTTTTTAAAGATATTTTTTATCACATTTCTGTTCGTCGAATTTGTAAACATATTTATACGAGAAAAACTAGCATGCTTTACAATTTACAAGATACGTTATTTTCGTTTTTCCGTTATTATATTCATTATTCAAATTTCGAAAGTAAATATATTTCCGTCCTTTCTTTAATACATGATAATACATTCTTGATGATTTAGATCTTGTTTAAAAGTTATTTACTAAAAATTGTAGCAAAATATTTATACCCAAAATCTTCCTGTTCTACTCGTTTTTTTTTGTCTCTTGAAGTTAATTTTATGGGGCATTCATAACCAAAAATTTTTATCATAAATTAGGAAAAATATTAATTACAATAACTATAAAGACGTTAAAAATCATATTATTTTGTGATACTTTAATTCTTTTTTTTTTTTTTATCCAGATCTTTTTATTCGATTTTCCAAACAATATAAACATAAGAAAAAGATCATCATGTCCTCGATTCGCAGACGCGCGTACAAGAAGCGTGCGCTTTAGTTACATTGAATTCAGCACTTGGTACAGGCACTTGGTAAATGCGGGATTTTATCGGAAAGTTCGTCGCGGACTCGAACGACAAGCAAAACATATATGCTATCCGATGCTTGCATCAAGTGCAAAACCCCCAGCTTTTTGGGGATACTTTATCACGTCAGGCAAGAAACGGTCTTCTAGTCTTGCGAGCAAATGATGTCGCTTCTATGAAACGATGTAGCTTTGCAAAAGATGAATTTTTTTAATGAATCCGAGAGAAGAACTTTCGTAGATAACCGATATATCAGAAGATTGCGTTACTTTGCATCACGATTTATTCTAGTTTATTTCAGTCATTTTCGAAAATAATTCTTTTCGATGCATGATGATGCATTTGCTGATGCAATGGTACTTCATTTTGTGGTATATCGTATGCGATCTTTCGTTCCTTGATATCGAACAGAATCGTTTTGACGAGAAGAAATATTACGTCAAAAAATATAACGTTATTCAATGCGATTTCGTCAATGTTAATCGCCATCAATCGTAGATAATTGATTAAAACTATATTTTACTAAGATTATATAAATTTTATTTTTCCGTTTATAAGATTGCTTATGTACAACTGTTCATTATATCCCAAAAATTTTAGAGAAAATGGAAGAAAACATACATACGATCTTCGAATAAAAATCTATGATTGTACATAGCCAGCTGGCTATAAAGTAGCTACTTTATATTCATTTGTACAAATAAATATTTTATATATGAGACTTTAATTCTCTTTAGCATCATTAGTGATATTTCTTGAAGTACGGAAGTGTGTCTAGGGGAGCAGGATAGTTTATCAGCCATTTTGGTCCGTTGATGATCGTTCCTCGATTTGGATCAAACCATGTTCCTGCAGGAAGATAGACATCGCGACTGATGGCACCTTCTTCAATTACTGGAGCAACCAGTATAGTCTCTCCAAGAAGATATTCTGCAACCCGATTAAACAGCAAAGTTGAATTACGCATTATTATAGATCATGTCATTTGTATTTTTCAGTCCTCATCAAGTCACTATCTTTTTTCCATGTGAATAAATTTTCATAAATAAGCGGGAAAAAAGAGAAATGGCTTATTAAGTCTGGAATATTCTACATACAATACAATACAATTCTCATATTTACCGTCATTAATTCTATGAGCTTCCTTATTGGTTGGATCGACCCACCAGATAGGTGGATTTACGGGCGTGCCATTAGTGATAGCCTGCTGCATGGCGTTTAGAATCTCTGACGTTTGATTAGCATGCAAATCGGTATATTTCTTGCAGATAGCAATAGTCTAATAAAACATAGATAAGTGTTATTATCTCAGAATAATATTTTATAAAAAAAATTAAATTATATTCGCGACAATATTTTTAATTCTCCCACAGAATTTCATTTATCAATAAGATATATCAATTATATATCAATTAACGATAATATATCAATATCAATATAATATATCAATATCAATATAATATATCAATTAACGAATAGAATTTTTCACATTATTTACTTCATTGTCGTAATCCCACGGCACGAACGAATATTGCAACGATGGCATGAAGACGTTAGTTTGCAGCCATCTGATAAAGAGCTCTTTAGGCGGATATTCCGTGCCATTAAGTGAACCGTCCAGGTAGCCGTTGCCACCGATCATGTCCGGTAACACATGGACATAACCGTTGAGATTCATCTGAAGTAGCGTCGTGATTAACGTGGGCAAGCCATTGTCCTGTGTCCATCTGGTGTCTTTGTCGATCATCCGAACGAATATCGGTAATTCCTGACTACGCCATCCTACCCGCACCTCGATATTATCATTGAAATTGGCTGCTAACGCCTCGACGTAGTCTTTCGTAAATATTCCCGGCTGCATATCAAGTGGGCCATTCAATTTCGCCACCTGCGGTAACCAGGACACTTCGCCAGCATCGAATTTGAAGCTATCAATGCCAAGATTCTGAAGGAGCTTCAATCGCGCCACCCACCAACTTACCGCTTTCGGATTCGTGAAATCGATCGTGGCGGCGTTCACACCTGAAGAAAAATAGCACATTCAAGTAACTGAAATTCATATAATTTACCGGATATGTTTATCAAATATGTTTTCATTAATCTTGATGCGATATATTTAGAACTAAATTAATTATTGAGCCAGTTAATATTGAAACTTTATACGTTTAAGACGCTATGGAAAAATAAGAGAAAAGGATCACAGCATTTAAGGAATATCTTCTTTAAATTGACTGACTTTAAATCAATTTCACCTTGCCACCACGACATTTGAACGCTTCCGTCGAGATTTTTGACAAAATATGAGTTGTTCAGTGCAGTGGAATATGCAGGTTCGCAGCCTCGGTTGATGAACGGATGTACCCATAAAGTGACATGGAAGCCCTTCTGTTTCAATCGCCGCACCAGAGCGCTGACATTGGGAAACTTGACTGGATTAAACACGGCAGAGCCGTAACAAGTTTCCCAATTGTCATCAATTTCAATTTGACTGTTGTTGAATTTATTGGCGATAATCTCATCCGCGTAAGACTCCACGATTTTCTCAGTTACGTTAGCCTTGTACCTGGCCCAGGTGGACCATATGGGATATCGAATCATTCTTTCGTTAGGATGACCTGTCGGTTTACCCAAATGATTTTTCACCACGTGCTGATGAGCGGCCTTCGGATTTGGAAAGACACCTAGCTCATAATCAAGCTGGACACTATCGCGACGTCGATAGGGCGCTTTGTTCTTTGCGATCAGACATATATAATTGTCTCGGTAATTGTTCTGATCTAGGAATAGCGGATTTGTCTCGTTCACGTAGATGTAGACTCCTTTGCCAGATAACCAGTAACGCTCGGACAATGCCATGTTTTGAGGATGTGTCGGCAGGTATGGTTCTTCCTCATAGTACATGTGTTGCACGGGCCAGAACTGATAGCGGAATTCCGGTCCACCGAACCATTGTGTACCCTCGGTGAACTGGTAACAATCGACAAGCTCAGCGGCGGGATCAGCTACCACGCGAGTAACGCTGATGATCTCGTGATCCGTATTAGCATAAATGGTAGTGAGCGTAACGTTGGCACTTTTTATGCAAAGTCTATTACTACCGCCACAATTTTGTTCAAACTCGAAGGGACTCGACAGCGTTTGCGGCGGAGTCTTTGTATGAAGAACGTTTATCATGTTCTCACCGTCTGGAAGAAATATTGCATTTATCGATATTAGTTTCATCTTCATTAAGGCTTTTCAAAATATTAAAATATCTGTACCATTTATAAGAAGAAATATTAAATACGCACACACGCAGATTGTGAGATTGATAGGAATAATAGAAAAATTTAACAAGACGAGAAAGATGAAGAATGTATATTCATTATTGTGGCGCACCATTTTTCGTAAGATTGAGAATTATGATGCGATTTGTGATGTTTACTTGAAGAACGCCATTCTTGATGGGAATAATTATTCCTGTATTTGAATTGTCGATTTCCTCAACATCGTTATCGTAAGCTAACGCGCCGAAAGCGAATAGCAGTAATATTATGAACGCACGCATTGCTAAAATAAATACAGCAGATATTATTGAGTCATTATATTTATTTTAAATGTTATATATTCTTAAATAACACAATTTTTTTTAAACATATAAAGAATGTCAAACGGAGATGTGCGAAATCCCACCTTGTAAAAACATATTTCAGATATGTCTTTCATCTGTTGTTTGATCTTGATCGAAAAAAACTATGCACTTACCGCTGCGTTCGAATGGTTGCATCTTGCACCAGTCCTAATCACGATTGAATTAACGATGCCATTCCCATCAATTTATATATATTTGCTCCAAATATCATAGTTTTTACGTTTGTGTTTATTCCACACTTTAAGCAGATAAAAAATTATGTCCAAATGATAAATTACGATGTTCGTATAACAAATGACTCAAATAACACTGCACTGTTTTCTTTATTTTAATTAAATCATTCATCATTATGATATCCCAATCTAAAAAGGGCATGTTATTGACATTGTTGTCGCTTTTCCGCGATCTTGATTGGTTGTCTTGTTCATGCGCTTGCTTCACTCGTGTGACTTGCTTCATTCGTGTCGTTTGACAGTTTGTCATTTGACAGTTAGTTAACAGTGTTGACAGTTAAAAAAATAAATATTAAATATAGTTAAATATATTTAATAAATATAGAAAGAAAGAGGAAGAAGGAAAGACAAATAAAGAAAGGTATGTATATTATATATGTATATTGTGTGTATATATGTATATTGCTGTATGAAAAATACGTATACTATTTTTTTTTATACTTATATATTTTTTTTATACTTTATAAATATATATTTTAATGTATATTACTTATTAATATAAACGATTCATTTAATATTAATATAAATGTTTCATTTACAGTTAAAGAAAAGACGAAGAATAGGCGAGAAAGAGAGAGGAAGGGAGAGAGAGAGAGAGAGAAAAACTGAGAGAGAGATAGAGAGAGAGAGAGAGACAGAAAGGAAAGA